AGTGCATTCACACTCCGATTATTCACACTTGTCTTGCATGCAAACAGCGATACAGCAACTGGCGACATGCGCCCTGACAGTACTTGAGATATCGTAACCAGATATGAGTTCTCTTCAACTGGCTATGGCGACTGGGCGCCCACACAACTCACTGTTCGCACTCAAGATCACCCTGAATGTCCCACACGCAACACTCAGTATCATACGCAACACACACACACGCTATGCTACAGCTATGGCAGCGCTAGCTGCCACTACCTATCGCTACACTACACTTCTCTGCCCACTTCGTCTTCGGGCACACTGCAGACCTCCTCGCACAAGCTGCTAAGGTAGCGCTTCCGCATGGCATCCGCACGAATGAATGAATGGCTGGACGCAGCCTCTTGATTTATACTTYTGCGCTGCGTTGGTCTGCCCTGTATCCCTGGCCCATGGTGCACACAGTCCCCCCCGTGGTACTTGCTGGACCGGACTGGTACTTTCTAGACTCTCCCATGACTGCATGGCGACTACCCTACGACGCAGTGCAGTTGCACTGGGGTCCTACTATTTGCCCTTGCCACTTGTCCTCGTCTCCAACATGGGCTTGCTTTAGTCACACCACTTGCCTACTTGCCTGCACCACTTGACCACTTGCCAACCTTCTAGAAGGACTGCAGCTAGCCTTCTAATCTACAGGTCTWCGGATCGAATCCTGGCTACCTATAGACCTAYGACAGACCTACCTACCACTGGCGGTTCTACAGGTCGCAGGTTCAACTCTTCGAGTTGACGCAGGTATTGTACACAGGTAAGTTGGGGAACTAGGGATCGAGCCCTGGGATCTGCCTCAGCTACCACGAATTGGTGAATACCGTTTCATTTCAGGGAGTGCTTCTCTCCAGTGTTTGATTAGTGTACTGCAGTATCAGCTAGGGGGGTCCTTGTTGATTTGATGGCTGCTGTTTGTTCTGCTGCTTTCTGTCCTTGGGGTCCATGACGCGTTCATTAACAAGTGGTATCCTTCTCTTCGGGGGTCGACTTGGAAAGGCACTAGGTTACGAATCTGGTAGAGTGCCATGCCGTCCCAGGAGAATTCCTTGTATAGGAGTATTCTTATTATCCATTTAGTTTGTAGAGCCTTGTACTCACTCAATGGGTTTAGCAGCCCTAGGCCTCCCCTTTTTACAGGTCGAAGGGAGAACGGGAAGACATTAGAAACTATAGACCTATAGACCTATTACCCTGTTACCAGTAGCATACAAAATCCTTGCAAAAACCCTAGCCAACCGCATAAAGAACGTCACAGATAAATGCTTTCACATAGATCAACCAGGATTCATCCCAGGTAGATACATATTAGACAATGTAGTGTGTCGAAACAAAGCCATGAAATTGATTAGAGATAAAAGATTGCAGGCAGCCGTACTCTTTTTCGACTTCGAAAAAGCATATGACCAAGTAAACAAGGACTTTTTGTAGCTCAGCATGGAAAAGATGGGCATTGGCCCAAAACTCAGGAGATCGGTAAAGGTACTATACGAAGATGCACAAGGTTTAGTACAAGTAAACGGACACCTATCGGACACATATAAAATGATCAGGTCAGACCCGCTCGCAGCACCAATCTTTCTTTTTGTGATGGAAGCAATAGCAACCTTCCTACGTAAAGACCCCTCAATAGATACTCACCCCGGAGAGCTCAGACAGGTACATCTCTTTCCCCACTGTCACGCTTCTGGCAGGCGACCTCACAGTTATAATCAGAGTCACAGACTTGTCATTTCAGGCCTTAACAAGAGCAATTCAAGCCTTCTAGTTAGCCTCGAAAATGAAGATTAACTGGTCAAAGACGGTAGAATGGTGGTTGTCCTCACAACCCACCCCTCAAACCTCCGCGGACACGCAAGGGCTGGAATGGATAAACACCTAGGAACGAGCAATTCAAGCCTTCAAGTTAGCCTCGAAAATGAAGATTAACTAGTCAAAGACGGTAGAATGGTGGTTGTCCTCACAACCCACCCCTCAAACCTCCACGGACACGCAAGGGCTGGAATGGATAAACACCTAGGAACCTATGAGATTCATGGGAATCACAGTATCAACAAAAGGCATAAGCAAAAGCACGACTAGCAAAAACGGTAAACAGGATGACAGGATGGCAGAAAGTCAATACCTCACTCCAAGGAAGAGCCTTAGCCCTGAACACATCGATCTTCTCCATGGGATGCTACACAGCGTCCTTATGGGACCCTCCCCACCAATTCATATCAATGCTAAAGAAAAAGGCTCTATGGATAGGAGATGCAGTCAAGGACAAGTATATCTCGAAAGTGG